CAATGGGACAGGGAAATTACATGATGCACATTAGTGGGAGATACTGAAAAGGCACATGACAGGCATAGATGTATAGTTCTGATGCAGGGAAGGAGTAAAGAAATGACCACAGTAATTCAGTCAATTCCAAATAGTTATATCTCCAAAAAACTGAACTATGATTAATGACATTAAAGAACCAAATCAGGTAGATCCCCAAATTGGTACAAACTGTAAAGTTGATGAGCTCTGACTGGAAAAGATAAATACACATTGGCATCCTCTGCTCCTTCAGAGCCCAGCTTTTTCTATGGAGCACACACTTAATATATGAGGGAACCCAATGGAACCCATATTAGAAAAAAATCTTATTTTCTTTTAAAAATGCAACATGCCACAGTAAAACAATTTTTTTTTCTGAGTGTAAAATTACTTATTATATAAAACCAGGAAAATATACAAAGAAAAATCAAGATTTTGCATTTTGAGTGGCACAGCATAGGAAAGCAGCTTGGATTGGTCTGACTCCTTAATAGCAATATATGCATGTATTTGCAATCCAGGTTAGGTTATAAGGAGAAGAAAGTAGAAAAGGTAGTAATTGTAGGCATTCATAAGCCTAAATAATATTTAGCTCTTTGGGATCTGAAGGAGAATCTCAAAGGAAGGTTTTCCAAAAATGGGAAACCTAGCATTTACATGTAGGTCCAATTTGGGTTGCTTTAAATGTCCCAGTTTTTGGGTTTTTTTAAGTTAAAAATTGAGGCAGTCCAAATGCAATGTGGGATTCTGGATTGGATCCTGGAATAGAAAAAGGACATAAGTGGAAAAACTGGTGAAATCTGAATAAAGTCTGGAGGTTAGTTCATAGTAATGTGTCTATGTTGGTTTCTTAATTTTGACAAATGTACCATAAGATGTAAAAAATTAACTTTGGAAGAAACAGTGAGGGACCAGCCTGTGGCTCACTTGGGAGAGTGTGGTGCTGATAACACCAAGGCCACGGGTTCAGATCCCATATAGGGATGGCCGGTTAGCTCACTTGGGAGAACGTGGTGCTGACAACACCAAGTCAAGGGTGAAGATCCCCTTACCAGTCATCTTTAAAAAAAAAAAAGAAGAAGAAGAAGAAGAAGAAACAGTGAGAATTCTCCATACTGTCTTTGCAACTTTTCTGTACGTGTAAAATTATCCTAAAATGAAAAGTTTATTAAAACCAAAAGGAAAGAGTAATCTTTGAACTACAAATTCTACTATCTGTGCTCTTGACCTATGTTCTGAAAAGAGACAGTGTTATAATGTTCAGAAATGAGGAAACTCAGGGAAGGGGAGGATCCCAATTGGTGATGTAAATTTTAAAACTTCAGAAGCGACAACATTTTCACTGATAAGTGCCCAAACTTAAGAGTCACCTAATTTGAATCCCAGCTCTAACATTTACTATATTATCATCTTGGGCAAGTTATTTATCCTTTCAGGACCTGTTTCTTCATTATCAGATATGGATATTAGCAGCTACCATAAAACATCATAATGAAATTTATTGTTGTTATTACATTCTTCTTGGTATAAATAAGAAACAGATTTCGAGTGATAATTCTCAAGGGAATGATTATTTTTCTTATAACTTCTGGTTGCAAATAACAAACATCCTCTTTAAAGTAACTTAAAGCAAAAAGAAAGGAGAGGCTTTATTGGCAAGATTCTGGCAGGCCTCAGGTACTTTAAGGAAATGTTGAAAGTTTGGACCTCAGAAGGGTGAGAAACCATGGCTGCTGTGGGTAACTCCAGGGAACCTACACGCAGATCTGTTCTCTAGTGTCCTGCCACTTCTGTGTCTGTCCTGCACTCCTTCCTTCAGTTACAGTTATTGAACTGCTGACGAGCCAGTAATTGGGGGCTACAGGGTCATGTGACTGTCAAGTCCAATGGTTGGGGGAGGGGGGAAACAGTGCATAAAGCACTCCCCAGCCTGCCACCTTGCTGGCTTCTTCTCCCACCAGCCCTTTGTCATTGTGCTTTTGTAACCACAGACTGCTTCTAGTTCTCCACGTACTTCATGGTGATTTTCTCATCTGTGACTCCAGCTAGAATTTCTTCTCACCTCTTCACCCCTCCACCCAGAAACTCCTTTCCCTGACTAATTCCTACTCTGTCTTTTTTTTTTTTTTTTAAAGATGACCGGTAAGGGGATCTTAACCCTTGACTTGGTGTTGTCAGCACCACGCTCACCCAGTGAGCCAACTGGCCATCCCTATATGCACCGCACTCTCCCGAGTGAGCCACGGGCCCACGGGCTGGCCCCCTACTCTGTCTTTAAGACTTGGCTCACCTCTTATAATTGTTTGTCGAGCAAATGAATGAATTACAGTATAGAGGAAGGGAGGAGGAGTCAAGGATGTGTTCTGATTGCCCGGAGCATGTCTAAGGGAGTAGAGGAAGGGACAGCATGCATTGGAAAAGGAGGTAGACACTCCTTGAAAGCAGGAACAGATGTTATTCCTATTTATATCTGCGTGGTCCCTAAAATAGTGCTTTGCATGTAGTGGGCACTCAGTACATTTGTGATGAGTTTTAGTCTGAAGAAGGAGATGGAAGTTCATAGGAGAATTTCCACACAACAGAGCATGCGAGTACATTCCACATATGTTTGAGGGGTTTCTCTTAAGTGTTTTTCTTTTATGGACTAAGTTCCTTTCACGGATTATGTGGTGGTCCATCACCGGTTTGCTTTCAGATCCATTTCTCGTCCTTTCTGTGCCCTGCTTTTATTGCAGGGGGTTTCTGCTCCTTGCAGACTGCATTTCCCAGGCTCCTGTGCATATGACTTTGTCTGGGTTTGGCCAAAGGGAGGCCACTGGCAGAGGACAAAGAGGGGGGAAGGAACATGTATAAGTTCTGTCTGTGTCAAGCAGCGTCTCCAGCAGTGGCCCTATCACCTCCTGATTCCATTTCCCACAGGAAGGCCCACCAAATCTCCAGCTACCCCAGCTCTAGCACTCTGGGAACCCCACCTTCCCCTTTGTCTCTCCAGCTTAGGGTGGCAACTTCCTCCTCTGGCCAATTTCTGGGCTCTTCACAGCTCCCTGTTTGGCTTCTCAGCTCCTCTGTCTCCTGTATAATCAATTCTCTGAATTAAATTCTCTGTCTTTGAAATACTCAAATGATCTGTTTCCGGGTTAGGTACTGACTGATTTGGAATGTTTTTTAACTTTTAGTTTGAGGTACTCGTTTGGGTTTTGGTCGTACAAAAAAAAAAGAAAACAGAAAGAGGACCTGGTAACTACTGATAACCACTGAGGAATTGCCTAATGGGATTATTAGTGATGCCTTAGTCCCTCAAATAATTTACTTTGCGGGAGTAAGCCTTCCAGTCCCAAGACGTGTTTCTTTACTTATTAGCCCTCAAAGCATCATACGTCTTCACTGTGCTCTGCGAGGATTCTTTTAGGCTAATCCTTTGCAGAGAGCTCTCGATAATTCTAGGAAAGTTACATGCCTTAGTTGCTGGAATAAATTACTAATTGACTTCAGAACCACCTTAATAGAAATAAGACGACTTTGTTAATGCTTTATCAAAAGCAGCGCTGTTAGAATGTTTTTTAACTTTTAGTTTGAGGTACTCGTTTGGGTTTTGGTCGTACAAAAAAAAAAAAAAAACAGAAAGAGGACCTGGTAACTACTGATAACCACCGAGGAATTGCCTAATGGGATTATTAGTGATGCCTTAGTCCCCCAAATAATTTACTTTGCGGGAGTAAGCCTTCCAGTCCCAAGACGTGTTTCTTTACTTATTA